TGTAATATAGTAAACAATTCTTCTTCTTCTTCCAAGTTGAAATAAACATATTTTCTATTGATAAAAAATGTATACTTTGATTTGCACTCCTATTATCAAGGCTCAAAGTATCGGAAATGCAAGATGTAATGGTAAGGCAATTTTAAGAGACGTATCAGGATACTCTTTCGATATGCATGGATACAGACGAAAAATCAAGATACGCATAGATACACTAGGAAATTCAAATAAATCATAAAATATATTAATAACAATAGATAGAAGTTTTATATGACTATAAATGAGTTATTTAAACATAAAAAGCCATACGTTAATGGTTTATAATTTTATATACATTGTGATACATTGGAATAGAATTGATTACAGTTGAAAATGAAGGAAAAATTAAAATTTGTATTGTTTTTTATTAGTATATAAATTTTAATAATGAATTTTAGCATTTATTACCAAACATTCCTTAAGAAAAGAAAATTTACTTAAGAATTAAAGTGCATACGTTTATGACAAGCAACTATAATATGGCATAATGGTAGACTTATAATCATTGCAAACTAATGACAAGGGTTCAAATCCTCCCACTTATAGTTTTTATAGCTAGTTCAAGGTGTATTTAATGCATATGATAAATTCAAATTTCAATTTGAATATTGCTTAATTTAGCATTAAATAAATGAGTTATTATGAGAGAGGGAGTAATTATAGGGGTTATAGGGAGTAATTGTAGGAGTTATTTGAGAGAGAAAGGGAATAGTCTTGCCATAATAATAAATCGGAATGTATCAACATGTTTTGGGTTTGTATCGGCTGATACGGATCCAAAACAACTTGATACGGGATTGTATCGGATCAATAGAGACCATAGTTGTCAAGGCGATGCCTAGGCGACAAGGTGCCTTTGGAGACTCGCCTCGTCTAGTCACCAAGTAGTTTTGTGCATTATGTTATAAAATACTTTTATATTTTTAATTTTTGACATTATAATTATAAAATAAGCATTATTAAACTAGAATACTCATGTTATGTGTTTATGTACTAATTTCTTTTTATTATTTTCTTATTTGTTAGGGTTTATTCAACACAAACATTGCTAACTGCTGTATTGAACTCATGGTTCAAAGTATCAATACGCAGAGGTGTATCAGTACTTATAACGATACTCCCCCTATTTTTTTTATTTCTTTGGTTTTCAATTTCATTTTTAAATATATATATATATATATTATTTTAAAAAATGGGTTCCCAAAAACACTTGTAAACATGTGTATTGGGTGCCAAAGATACAATACAATACACCCGATACGGGGCATATTGTGTAATCAATATGCTCAAAGATTTTCTTCTTACAAATCTTTGAGCATATTGATTACACAATATGATCCTTGATTGAATCCTCAAAGATTTCAGAACCTGAACCAATAGGCAAGGGAAGAACTTAAAATTTTGTGTAATCAACACATTTTCTTCTTACAAATCTTCTTCTTCCACCTTTTCTTTTCTTCTTTTCCTATAACAAAAGTAGGGGTTCAACCCCTATATTTTTTGTATTTTCTTTCCTTTGTTCCTTTTCTTCTCATAAAATGTTGATTTTCTAAACTTAAAACATGAAATTTATACTTCTCTTATGAAAATTATGGATAATTATTAAGGAAAAATGGTTATGGAACCTAGAGAACTACCCTAGGATATATGGTTTTACTTAAATCCATCACCTTGGCGCCTTAAAAACTATGATAGAGATGAAAAGAAATGATTCCATATCAGATTCCCACAGAAACAATACGTATTGATTGATACAGATTGGTATGCTACGAAATTTTAAACCTTGCCTGTTATTATTATTATTATTATTATTATTATTATGAAATTTACATTGCATATATTCTATTTTACTCCTTGTTTTAAAATATCTTGTCATTAGATTTTGCTAAAAAAACCAATTTTTTTTTTTATATCCTTCATTAGTTCCATCAATTAAAATAATGTCATCAGCAAACAAGCGCCATGGGCCTCCTCCTAATTATGTTTAGTTAATTCATTTATGATTAGTGCAAATAAAGAAGGGCTAAGTGCTGACCTTGGTGAAGACCCATTGTAATTGTAAAATTTGATGCCCCTCCCATAGGTGTTTTGATATTGGTTTTTACACCCTTGTACATATACCTATTTGGCACTCTTCTTTTTCAGGACCTGCCATATTATCTCTTTAGGGACTCTATCATATGCTTTCTCTAGATTAATGAACACCATATTAAGATCTCTCTTCTTCTCTCTTAACTTTCCTATCTATTGTCTCAAAAGAAAGATAATCTTCATGGTTCATCTCCTTGGCATAAACCCTAGTTGGTTTTCTAATATGCTTGTTTTATGCAAGGTTCAAAGTATCGGTACACCCGATGTGCTGGTAGAGGCGTATGAAAGTGTATCATTAGCTGTTTCTTTATTTTTTTAGTTTTTTTTTTTTCAAATCTGGTTCAAAGGGGTCGGCCTAGACCTCAAAACATCCCCTGTAGGGGCGTATCGGGAAGCCCCCGATATGATACGTATCGGCCGATACAGCCCAATACATATTGATACTTTGAACCTTGGTTTCATGTTGTAACCTTTGCTCAATTATTCTGTACCAAAATTCCATAGCATGGCTCATGAGTGTCTTCATACGATAATTATTACAACTTTGTATATCACCTTTGCTTTTAGATATAAGCACCATAGTGTTGTTTCTTCATTCATCAAGCATTTTTTTTCAATTTCATCCACAATAAGCCTACCTCTTTCACACTTAAAGATACCCATTGGCATTAGGTCCTAAGACCTTTCCCTTCTACATTTTATTTAATGCCTTCTTCACTTTATTAATTCTAATTATACAAAGGTACACTATTTTTAACACTATTAGAGTTACTAATCTCCCCCATTAAAACCCTTTACATGTTCATTTAATATTTTTTCAAAATAATTTTTCCATCTTTCCTTGATTTCCTTATTTTTTTTACCAAGACTTCAATATTCCTCTTTAATGCACCTAACATGGTTTAAATTTTTCTACCTTTCCTTTCTTTCATCTTTGTTAGGTTAGGAATTACATTTTCTCCATCTTTAGTGCCTAATTTATGATAGATCTCATCATATGTCTTAAATTTAACTTAAGTTTCTTTTTAATTTCCTTTCTTGTGGTTTTATATATATTATATTAAATTTTCCCTATTTTTAGTATTTTGCTGATCCTTATAACATGTTCTTTTTAATTTGATTATATTTGGAACATCTTCATTCCATCACCACGTTTCTTAGAACTTTGTCATTCCCCTTTACATTTTCCTAGAACATCCTTTGCTACTTTTTTATGAAATTATCCATTTTAAGCCACATATCATTAATCTTCTCATCTAAATTCTATTTTCCTTCTGCTCTCAATTTGTTCAAAAATATGCTAGCTTTTCTCCTTTTAGGCTTTTCCACCTAATTCTCAGACATCTATTTCTTTTCCATTTCCTAATGTGCACATTTACCACCACTAATCTATGTTGGGGTTAAGCTTTTCCTCGGAATAATTTTTAGGCTTTTCCACCTAATTCTTGGACATCTATTTCTCTTCCATTTCCTAATGCACGCATTTTCTAGTTCCACCACTAATCTATGTTGTGTGGTTAAGATTTTCCCTAGAATAACTTTGTAATCTTTGTACATTATTTGTTCTGTTCTCCTAGTGAGGAAAAAATCTATGTAACTTACATTTGATCCACTTTTAAATGTTATTAAGTGTTCATCCTTCTTTTTGAAAAATGTATTTACTATGAAAGGGAAAAAACCCTACTATGGTTTTGTGATCTACTCATAGTTCATTCTATTTTAGGATTTGGGACCTGATGGTAGTTGCACCAATATTGCTTCTTTAGTGGAATTTTTGGTACTTGAGATCCTATTTGCAAGAACTGAGGTTTCAGGTACTTTACAGGTCTTGTTTTTGGTTAGTTTGAAAGTTAATAGACAATTACTAGTAACCCATTACAGAGGTGGCATATTTAAAAAGAAATGCACCAGGTGTGTGCCTTTTGAAAGGGGCTGTGCTTAGGTTCAGGCGAGTCACATGCCTTAAAAAATGTGTTCAGGCGTGCCTTTTAGAACACTGCTTAAAATAATTCTCTAGTAACTATACTGCAACTGAGCAAATAAAAAACTGCTCTAATATAAACCAAGAATATAGAAAGGCTCAAATTCCATTACAAAGATGATAGGCTTTCCTGGGTTGGATATAGCTGAAGTCTTGTATGTTCTGAGACCTCTGAAATAGTTACTGTTTGAATTAGAAGGAAACCCCTGACAATTAATGAAATGAACCTCTCATGACCTGAAGCTTATATAAGGAGTTAATGCAATATTCTTCGATAGCATTGTTGGTTTTTGATCAGTATTAGGGATTTGTAACCAGATTTTGGTGCACCTATTAAGAGTCAGGTTTGGACTTCTTAGAGACATTTTCATGGCAAATGCCGGTATTGGCAAATAATGGAACATTGTATTTTGCTTGGTTTGTTCTAAGCAGTTTTTAGATGATGACGGCAAAACAAAGAAACATGACTTTTGAACTCTAAATTAATTTCCGGAATCTTCTGTAATTGGAAAATAAACTAAATTATTTTCTGCTTTTCCTGCCAACACTATATAGTTGGGAGAAGGCTTAGATGATGATTTTCTACTTTTCCTGTCACCTTCTTCCATGAATTTATTAATATAGTCTATTCCATAAAAATGCCGAGTGGTCTTCATCAACATTTCTGGATGCACCTCTTCCTTGGATATGGGGCTCTCTTTTTGTACCTTCCCGAAATGTTGATTCTGCTAGTTTCACTTGCTCTCACTTGTCACCATCTCAAAAAAAAAAAAAAAAAAAGGTTCTCACTTGTCCTCATGTTCATTCTGCTAGTTTCACCGTACACAATAAATTTTGAATTATGGTGTGGCTAAAGTTTGACACTAACAATATGCTTAATATGTTGTAGGGAAGGCACAATTCTGGATCAATATCTAACCTGTCTCCAGGCTTCTCTTCTACCCAAAGTCAGAGTCCCAGTTTTTATGCTGACCAAAATCTAAGCTCTTCTTCTGAAATGAATGAATTTTATGAATCATATCATAGTTCAGTTAGTCCAGGATCTGTGGAAGTTAGTTCTGACTCAGTGATTTGGAATAATGAGGTGGATCATTTGGAGGGAATAGATAAAGTGGTAGAATTTAGAAGTTCATCAGATCCTGAGATTAATCAAGCACTACGTAGGCTTGAGGAGCAGTTGAGTTTAAATGATGAGGACTTGGCAGAAGAGCTTTCTTCATACTACCTTCAAAATGAGAAATCCAAAGGTTCAGTAATTCTAGATTATGGAAAGGAGAGCTTCAACGAGAATGAAGATGTGGTTCTACTACATAGATCAGAATGCAGTGGACATGGTCAACATTTTAGTGGTAATGTTAGAAAGGGAGATGATTCAATCAACGGCCGGTTGCTAAAGAATGCAGGTTTACCTTGTTTTCATAATCATCACTAATCAGAATTCTTTGATTGGTTCTTTCGTGTATAGTGTTCTATCTTATAAATTCATGCAGCAAATTCCCTTTAATCAATTTCTGTTGTAGTTAGTTTCATTTGATGGACTCCTTTTCCCTCTTTGCTGCTGATGATAACTGTAGCAGTTAACTGGTTTAAATCTATTATCTTATAATAAGTTTTTAAATGTTATAGCATGTGCAGAACTTATATTCTATCATTTTGCACTGAACATAATCCAATTGCATGATTATTTCATTTCTTGATTAGCGTCAATTCTCATCACTTGCTTGCAGCTTTATAATGAATAGTGAATCTGAAAACCTTATAATAACCAGTGTATTTTAATACTGAAATTGATCGAAATAACATAATTAGAGAAATTCATCTAAGAACTAAGAATTTTAACAAATGTTTATACTCTGATCTTGACTGAGTCAAATATACTCCTAAATGCTCCAAAAATAGACGGTCATGTACATGTCAGCGTTATTCAATCCTTCTTGGTACATGGTAAGATAATACCATTCTTAAACCACCCTGGAATGTCACCACATCTCTGACTTCAGAACCAAATAGAGCTAAAAGCATAAAAAATGATTCGACCAAAGAAACCCTAGACCAAAACCAAACCAAAGAAAGGTGGGTAGACCATCGATGATAATATGTCAAAGTTTAACTTGCTAATAACTTGAAATGTGGGTGTTGGACCCCACCATTAAATATAGGGTGGTGGAAATAAGTGGGCCTCAACCTCTCAAATGTGTGCTCAACTATCCAACCATAAATCTTAGATTTTGCCTGATGAGTAAATATGATTTCTTAGAGATGTCTCCCTTGGGAAAATCTAGAACAGTGACAAACTTGTAAGTACCCTTTTATCCACTTGAGCAAGTAATTCCATACAGCCATGAGATTGGAATATTCGCTCCTGTTTAAAATTCAACCCTCTATCTTTTCCAATACTTTAACTACTACTACTACTACTACTCTATATAAACAACTTCCTTCATTCCTTTCAAGGGCAATTGATCTCCTATCTTCAAATTCCCATTCATCCAAAAAATGCTACCATTTTTCATATAAAATACATCCCTTCTCATCCCTCTTTATTTTGGTAGGGTTTCCCCTTTCATCCCTAACTTCCACTAAACCATCCCCATCAATCCCTGCCCAAGAAAACAACGTAGTAGAGAGAAGATTAAAAACTACCTTGTTTTACTGGTTAAAATCAAGAAGAAAGGAGAAGAGAGGAAGAAAAGGAGAATCAAGGAATCTCAAGCTCCATTTATGTTTTACTTTATCCAGTCATGAAGTCCCAACTGAAACTCTCCAATCCTCATTCTAAATTCCTATTCAAGCTCATATTAGAGGCAAGGTCCAAAACTTCACAAAGTATCGGTGCATATTGTATGATATATTGTTCCAGTGACTTGTCGATTCGTGGAGCACATAGAAGTGGCATCTCTTTTCATATATCGGTGGCATGTCAGTGTGTATTGGTAGCATATCGGCAAATACATTACAGTGGAATATGAATTTCATATATGATTGAAAGAAGGCTTCTAACCCTCTCTAGAAGCCTTCTTTCACGCTCAAACTTTACATGAGTGTTCTAGGCAACTAAAAATCCCTAGATCTACAAAAAAAGATGGAGAGAAAACCATAAAGAATTGAGGTTTTGAAGCTAAATGCATTTTTGGCACAACAAATGAAAAACGATAAAATGTGTGCAATTTTTTCATCTTATCTTGTGTGTGTTTGAATGTTAGAAATGCTTAGATCTACATTGATCTACTCTTGGGTGGTTTGATAACTAGATTTTTGACTTTTGCTCTTAACCTCTTATAAACAGGTATATGGATTTTTTTGAAGAAATTGTAACAGTCAAAACAATTACAAAAAAAAAGAGAAAAATCAATATGCTTCACAATATGTGAAGATAGAAAATGACTATAATATGAATCTATGGATGATATTCATAAAAAGAAAAATGCGAATCTATGGATGATCTATCATATCCATAGATCCATTAAAATTTTATATCAAATTCTTTTTTAATTTTTTTGTAACTTAAGAAGTAAAAATAAATTTAAAACAATTATTTCAAGAAGAAAAATTACTACTTTTGTACTTGCATGTAACTTGTGTCTAGGATGGTTTAATTGATCATCATTATTTCATATGGATGAAACATGTACCACTTAAATATTGATAAGTGGTTAAACTGAATGTAAATTAAGTGATAAATTTATAAGGTATATCACTTAAACTTTGTATTATGCAATTAGTTGCCAGACATGTAACTTAGTAACTCGCCTCTATTAATATTAGTGGTTAAGCATATAATTTATGTGAATCAATTTTGAAGTCTTTTGAATTTTCATATGATTTATTTCTAAGATTTATCAATTTTGAGACTTGTAGCATTTTATAATAATATTAGATAATATTTATATATTCTTGTATGTTGATTATGAATCTATAGTATGTTTCTTCATAGAGACCATCAAAGTATGTGATTCTTATGTATATATACCTTATTTAATACTTATATTTATTGTTTTTGACGTATTTTTATGATTTATTTGAGTTCTCATAGTGTATCCATGCATATCCAGGTATGTCTCTTAAAATTAACTTTCTAATACACTTTGTGCTTCTAATATTTTGAACCTTTATTTAATTATTAGAGGTATCAAACCTCCCTCACCTCCATTTTCCATTAATTTGAAGTTTACAGTAGTTTCTTGCAAGTTAATATCGTTTTCCTTCATTGTTGTTATTGTAATTATTAGGAATTAATACCTGGGTCAATGTGGAAAAGGTGGAGAGAGTATCTCATCCAATTCCGGTGACTAAGGGCATCAAGGTTTCAATCCAAAGTTGCATAAGTTCATAATTGAAAGTCTCTGGCCGTAAAAAAAAAATAATAATAATAATTGAAAGTGTCTGTCTATTGCCCCTTCATTGATTTTAATGCTGTTCATTTTTCTCTTTTTTAATTTCTGTTTTTTCTGATCATTCTTCAACTTTTTTTTGTCAAATTGCTGCATTTCTGGATGTTTCTTGTTCCATTTATGGCCTTTGGGGGGAGGGGGGTGGAGGAACCAGTTTTCTCCCTTAGAATTGTCTAATTGACTATTCTGGCACTTAATTGTTATTTGTCCTTATTTCCCTTCTTGGTCTTTTAGTTTGATTTATTTTTCATTTTGGAGGGTGATGATGCATTAAGAAGTCCTCTTCATTATTTTCTATAAGCAGAACCTTTCAATTACATAAAAATTTTAAATCTGATGGCGCATGAATCAATAATCTTTGTCTGTTGGGTACATTTTTCTTTTAATGGAACTTAAAAAGAAACATCCAGAAATGAAACAAGAAAGTACAAACATGTGCTTTAAGTGGCAACTGCATTTCTGGATGTTTCTTTTCCCTTGTCACTTCTGATTCCTGAATAAATAAAAATATCAAAATTACAAATGATAATTGGGTGATATTTTATGTAGGTGAAAACAGGGAGCACCTTCTTCGACCATCTGTTCCAGAATATACAATTGAAACAAAAGAATCTCCATCTTGGAAAGAGATGCTAACTGTGATCGATTCCCAAGAGAAATTTTACACACCAAATGGAAATGTGAGACTTCTACAATATATTCTAGTATATTCATTACTCATTTTTTATTATCCTCCTATCTATACATCCACCCTAGAATATAGTTAATTGTTAGTCTGTTACACTTTCTGGCTCAAGTGAACATTTGCTATTACCTTTTTGTTGAATGAATCAGCATTATGCATGTAAAACCTCCAACTTTTTGTTTGTATTTATAACAAATTGTTATCTTCCTTCTCAGCAAGATGACTGTGCCATGGCTGAATCTTAAATCCAATTTTTCCTTTCATACGCATTCATGTTCACATTTGATATGGATGTGTACAGGAAAATTCATCTCCAGGAAGGGGGGAAATCTCTTCAAACCTTTATGAACATCAGGAAAATTGGCCTTCTCAGTGGCTAGATTCTGATGGATGTAATAGAGAACATAGGAATACTTACAACACAAATGAAGAAATGCAACTATCAGCAGCTCGGCAATTTCTATTAGGCTCTGATAGTTTTGTTGAATCACCATCTTCAACACCACTACTTCAAGAAGCTGAAAATTCCAAAGTTTCTGTATGTTCTTCTGGAACAAACATGTATGAAGCCAATGCCAACTATTATAAGATGTGGTTTGACCAAGGAATTCGGCTTGGAGTTCCTCTTGGAGCAGATTCAAGTTTGACTATTGCACAAAAACAGAGGTTCACCATTTCTGAAATCTCCCCAGACTGGGGTTATTCCAGTGAAACTACAAAGGTATATTCAATGAGATTCTACATTTTCACTCCATGCTCCTTTGCTAATAATAGTTCAGCTTTTATTAATTGTTAATTGTTGTTGCATCTTTGATTGTATACCTACAAAGAAACTGTAAAATAAGCCAAAGGTCCAATACTGGCTCAGGGCAGCAATAAAGACACTAACTTCATGAAGAAAAAGCAAGAGGAGATAGTAATAACTGACTACGAACTTTGTTAAGATGTGTTTACAGTTCAAAAACACCATATATCAATCTCAAATTAGGAGTTGGTTCTTTCACCCCTATTTGCGGGCCATCTTGCTTTGGAACTGTCTTTTGATTATCTGTTACTGATAAAGACCAGAGATATAACAAAATAAGAACTAAAACAGGGCGATGAAAACCTTTGCTAACATGCACAGTGGGTCCACAAGGGACTGCTAGTGTGCACCATCAAGTCTTCTTTGCCACTGCATCAATTATCCTCAACAAAATCTACCTGTGCTACTGCTACATATAGAATCCAATGTTTAATTGATCTTATTATTCATGGGTGCACTACTTCGATACGATACATTTTCTTTGATAAATGATAGCATTTTATTAGTAAAGAGGGATTACATCAAGATTTAGAAGACAAACTATCCCAATAGGGACATGAGGTGCGACACCATTCTACAATGACCCAAATTACAACTGAGCTAAGAACAGTTCAGACTTAAACACCCCCATCTTCGCAAAATAATCAGCCATTCCATTTGCAGACCGCCTTTCCCATTTCACAAGAACTGTCATGTCTCTAACTAGCCATTTGAACTTTTTTCATAGATTCGTTGTACTTTCAACTCACTGTTTCTGGTTCCTTCAGCCACCCTATTATCAATTTAGAGTCACCTTCAATGAGCAGCCTGTCAAAATTTAGCTGTCTCACAATCTGTACTCCTTGCAAGACTGCTTGGAACTCTGCAAAAACTGAGTCCCCTATTCCAACCGGGCCTGAGAATACAGCAACAATGAGTCCTTCATTATTCCTAAAGACCCCTCCTACACCAGCTGGACCTGGGTTCCCTAGGCTGCTGCCATCAAAGTTCAACTTAATAAAGCCTTCATCAGGAGGTTCCCAAGCTACCACTAGTCTGTTCCTTGTGGTAGAACTTCTAGCTACAGCTCCCCAGTTTCTCCACAAGTCATCAACAGAGAAATCTGAGAACAAGTTTGAGGCTTTAACCCAATGTAAAGCTCTATTAAAAATACACTCCCAAACTGCCTCCTCCATACTCCTTTCTCTGTCACTGAAAACTCTACCATTTCTCTCCTCCCACACCATCCATATCACAGCAGCCCTAAGGCATCTCCACATGACTTTACCTCTCTTCTTTGGCCAACTGAAGGTCGTGAAGTCAAAGAGATTTCCAATCTGCAGAGGCACAACCCACCTATGACCAAAAAGATCAAAAACCTTTTCCCAGAGGCCTACAACAAAAGGGCAAGAAATTAGGATGTGGTAACAACTTTTACCACAAGCTTTGCAACGGATACACCAGTTTAGGAAAAGGCACAAGGTAGGTCTTCTTTTTTGCAAGGTGTCTAATGTGTTTATTTTTCCAAGAAAGACTTCCCAACAGAAAGCCCCAACCTTAGGAGGGAGAGGTTTGGACCAGAACTCTTTAAATGGACAAGGGGAGTGAATCGGGGCTGAACACAAGCAAGAGAAGAAAGAAGCACAAGAAAACAAACCCCTAGGGTGTGGAGTCCAAATATGACCATCAGGTTTAGAAAGATCCAGAAAAACAGAATCAATGACTTGCAAGAGCGAAGTTGCCAGTTCAAGCTCACTGTCTCTCAAGTTTCTTCTTAGTCCCAGGTCCCTACTTACCCCAGACAACTGAAAATAGGGCACAAAACGATGTACAGGTTATTTTTTAAGCAACAAAAGAGAATAAAGAGAAGGATAGAGGTCTTTAAGGGTTGAGTCGCCAATCCGAAGATCCTCCCAAAATAAAACCCTGTCTCCAGAGCAAACATCATACTTGATAAGGCTAAGGAACTGAGGGAGGACTCCGCAAGTGGATTATAGAGAAGCCAAAGTAGTCCTCGAAGAAACCCCAGGTCCCCAGCATCCCAACCATTGCCTGCACCGCCGTGAATACTGACTATCACTTCTTGCCACAATTGTCCCCTCTCCAACGGCCATCTCCACAACCACTTACCTAGCAAGGAAGTATTTTTCTTACCTAGATTTCGTAACCCTAGACCTCCCCGTTCTTTACTCTGACACACTACCTCCATGGTTTCAAATGTCGCCAAATGTCACTAATGTCGCCCGACATATGTCGATGTCGAGGCTCACCGACATGAAAATGGATGGTAATATAAAAATTACATTATGTCGGTCGACCAACTCGGAAATGTCGACCAACTTGGTCCAAATAACCAAAAAAAAATACAGTTTTTCCTATTATGTCGACAAGATGTCGACTAATGTACATTAAAAATATAATATATTAGTATATTATATTAACATAATATAGTATATTAATATAGATTATTCCATTAATATTTCAAATAAAATATTTATAAAAAGAATTAACAAAATATAAAAACAAAAGAATAAATTAATTACTTTATAATATAAAACATAAAATATTTTTCAAGTAATAAAATATTAACTAGTTAGTATTTTTTAAAATATTTATTAAAATCAGAAAATGTTTATTAAATTTTATAATAAACCATATTCTACATTTAATATAAAAAATCAGAATAAATTTAATAAATTTTATACTAAATCATAATGTATTATAAATTTAGTATTAAAAATCATAATAAATTCATTAAGGTTTATAAGAAATCAGAATTTATCATAATCTTAATACTACAAAAAGGAGAATCAGTTTATTAAATTTATAATGAAACATAATGTATTATAACTTTAATATTTAAAAAATCAGAATAAATGTATTTCTATTTACTAGTGTGAAATAAATATATTAGAATTTATAATAAATCAGAACTAAAAATAAGAAAAGAAAATATCAGATAACCTTGTAAAAACATCAAAATGCATAATAAATCAGTAAATCATCATTTACTAATTTGTTATTGATCTTAGTTTCTTAGCTTTATATAATGATTGGGAATAAGATAATAGTCTAGAAATATGTATTAATGCTTCTTTTATCATTTTACAAAATATCTTTCATATTTCCACAATGTGTCTAAGTTTTACAATATTTCCCCTCGACATTTCCGACATTTCTGACATATGTCCTATATTTTGGTAAGCGACATTTCCATCAACACCGACATTTTAAGCCTTGACTACCTCCCACCTGACCAAGTGATCCTTTCTACCTTCCCCAGGCTCCTAAAGGAAATCCCTCATCAACTTTTCTAATTTTTGCACTTTCCTTCTAGGCATATCCTAAAGACTATCAAGTAGTAGACTAGCAAACTCGCTCAAGTGGACTTTATCAAAGTAATTCTGCCTCCCAACGAAATATAGTTTCTCTTCCAAGCTGCCAGTCTCTTGGTACACCTCTCCACAACTAGGTTCCAAAACCTAGATTCTCTTGGATTATCCCCTAAAGGCAAGCCAAGATACTTCAAAGGCCAGCTTTCAATAGCACAACCTTGGGACTCTACTACTGCATTCACTTCTTCCTACCTCAAATTTACCCCTACAACACAACTCTTCTCAAAATTGATCTTTAGCTTGGAGATATGTTCAAACAACTTAATCACCTCCTTCAAATTTACTCCTACCCACTCTCCAACCTCTAAAAAAACCCAACCTGTCTGCCCTTTGGAAAATTCTTCTAAAGACATCCGCTATGAGAGTAAAAGGAAAAGGGGAGAGGGGGTCCCCTTGTAGTTGGAAAAAACTCTCTTACCACACCATTCACTAGTACCGGATAATGGCAAGTTTTCAGGCACCCTACAATCCAACTACACCATCTTTCTCCAAAACCATAACAGGAATACCCAATCCACCATATCATAAGCCTTCTCCACACGTTCATTTGCTATCAGTATTTGGTCTGTAATTTGTCTCCCTTGAATGAAATCTCCTTGAAATTGAGAGATCATATTTGGGAGGGCCACTTTTAATCTTAGTGAGAGGACTTTAGCCAGGATTTTATACATGCTAGTCACCAAGCTTATGGGTTTGAAGTCTTTCGGCTTTGGGGCATCTGGCTTCTTGGGTATCAAAGCCAAAAAAGTCGAATTAATTCCAGGGCTAATAAAATGTTCCTCTGCAAACTCCTCAAACACTGCCAACAAACCATATTTGATTATCTCCCAACAGTCCTGATAAAAATCCATTGTGAACCTGTCCGACCCTGGTGCTTTCGATCTATCCATCAAGAAAATGGTCCTCCTAATTTCTTCCAGGTCAAAGTCTCTTTCCAATTGATTTGCCACTCTTGGATCCAGCCTAGGCCAATCCAACCCTTCCACCATGACTCCTCCCTCACCCACCTTTTTATAGACTTCCTTAAAGTGATCAACAAAACATGTTGCAATTTCCTCTTGGTCCCTTGAGATTTCACCATTTACTTCCAATTTATCTATAAAATTTTTCCTTTTCCTACCATTGGCTATTGCATGGAAGAATTTTGTATTACCATACCCCTCCTTGATCCACTTATGTCTCGACTTTTGCCTCCAGCGAATCTCTTCTCTTAGCAAAATCTCCTCTAGTTCCTTTCTTGATGTCCACCTTACTCTTCTATCCTCATCTGTCATCAACCCCTGACTTTCCTTCATGTCCAATTGTTCTATTTTAGAAGTGACTCTCAGCTTTCTTTCCTCAATTCTTCCAAAATGTTCTCTATTCCATTCCTTTAATTTGCTGTATTTTCTTATGAAACCTTGCTCCCTTCCACTCAATGTCCCTCGCCTCCTCGTACTTTAATATGACACATTCTGATATATTAATTCAAACTAACTAGATTTTGTTATTGATTTGATTTTAAATTCACATATATTTGTGCTTAAGGCTGCTTGTCTATAATTAAGATATGTCCTAAATCATAATATATGCTCAAGATATATAAATGATGCCCATGCCACCATGCCAAATAAGCTCATGATATATAAAATAATCTCAAAGGACTTTGTGGGGAGGGGGGGGGGGATCATAAGTAATATGAGTTGTGTGGCAAGAAAGAAGTGCCTGCATTTTTTTTATAATAGAATCTGTTCTCCCTGAAGTAGTGCTGAGAAAAAGCAATTGTATATCATGACTGGTATGTAAAATATTCAGGGATGATTCTTGTTCTGATTTCTTTACCATTAATACTTTTGATCTTGAAACAGTTTTTTATTTATATACCCAGTAATTGGGACAAGGCTTGGAGGATGACAATGATGATAAGGCTTGATTATATACCCAAAAGAACACTTGTTTCAAACACCAAATACATTGTGTTGATAATCTGAATGTGAAGTTATATATTGTAAGCATATGATAAAAAGGGTATCAGTTTTAAAATAATAACAAACTAGGCAACCACCCAACAGAAAGGTCAACCTAGGCTGTAGTTTGAATGACATGTGAACACCTAGTTTCATGTGCCAATGCAGTTATTTTTGGCAATGGGGACTACCTAATGAATAGCAATAGGTAACTGCTTTTTATCTATACCAATTACCGAAGTACTATAATATACGTTATCTCAGTCTTGGCATCTTCATTGTGTCTTTAAGTTATTTAAATTTTATGTTTGAAATTTACAATTGCGGGTCATTATTCTGAAAATTTAAAGAGTATGTACTCATTGCAGGTAATTATCACTGGATCCTTTCTTTGTAGTCCATCCGAATGTGCCTGGATGTGTATGTTTGGTGATATTGAAGTTCCTGTAGAAATCATCCAAGACGGTGTTCTTCGTTGCCAGGCTCCTTCACACGTTCCTGGAAAAGTCACTCTATGCATCACATCAGGAAATAGGGAAGCCTGCAGTGAAATCAAAGAATTTGAGTACCGCATAAAGCCAATGAACTGTGAGCACTGTAATTTACCCCAGGCAGAAGCTAATATGAGTACAGAAGAACTGCTGTTGCTTGTCAGATTTGCACAGATGCTTCTATCTGTTACATCTACTGAAAAGGAAGATATCATTGAATCAGGAGTCAACCAATTGAGGAAATTGAAAGTTGATGAAGATCCATGGGGACGTATTATAGAGACACTCTTACTTGGCAGTGAGACCCCATCCACCACCATGAATTGGCTTCTGCAAGAACTTTTAAAAGACAAGTTGCAGTGGTGGCTTTTGTCCAAATATCAGAATGAAGGAGATACACCTGGATGTCACTTGTCCAAGAAAGAGCAAGGGATAATACATGTGATTTCTGGATTGGGCTTTGAGTGGGCTTTAAACCCAATTCTTAATTCTGGTGTCAGTATAGATTTCCGTGATGTTAATGGATGGACTGCCTTGCATTGGGCTGCACTGTATGGAAGGTACATTGAAGCTCTAGTATGTTCTTCCTGGCCTGCCTAGTACATTTCCTTTTTATGAAAATTCGCCCATATCCATGGTTTTCTTTCTCATATTATGGTCAGTACTAAAATGTTTGGTTCTGACAGTTTGCATTTTTGGACTAAGTCTCAAAAGAGGAAGCCTAATGCATGAGCCAAGAAGACTGAGTAGTCAACCAATAATTTTTTTTATATTGCCTTGGTTGAGTGTAACACAATTGAGGAAGGGGATTGTGCCACCTTTGAAGGAGTTTTGCTGAAATCGGGTAGGAAATTGGAAAAAGAGAGAAAAGGAAATGCAGAGGGAAAGGGAGAAATGAAGAAAAATGTTTGTGTGAGAGAGAGAGAGAGAGGGATGGGGGGGGGGGGGAGAGTTTTGGAGAATAACTATATTGCTTCTCAAGAAACCTTGTTAGACAAAGAAAAAACAAATAAAATATAAAAGCAAAATATCTTCCAAGTATCTTATGGAATATCCTATTCTTGGCATATTCTAATCCAGGCAGGAAGCATTTGGACAACTTATTATTTATTACCTCATGGGAAATGTTCATTCACCTTAAATTATGGGACTGGGCCCGAAAGAGATGGTAAGGTCTGCCCAGTAAAAATGGTTTCGGGATTTTGGGCTGGTCCAGCATCAGGTGTGCATGTTGTTTACATGTGTGCTTGTACCTACATGATTGGAAAACTGGATATTTATAACCCAAAAGATTTGGCCCCGAATGAGTGGTTTAATTGTCTCCTGTATTGCGTTCTTTCGTAACATATAAATATAAAATGCCAAAACTCTAGGAAAAATCTATGGGGTATGTACCGTTTCCATCAAATCAGACTGGTTTCTGTTGCCAAGTTATTTTTAGACTGTCCTAACTAGTAATGTGGACTAAAAAGGTCAGATATAAATATCATAAACTCGACTCAACTCAGCCTTATCCCCAACTATTTGGAGTCAGATTCAGGAATTGGGTCCCACCATTCTTCTCTATCAGGAGCTTCGTTTTTAGGGTCTAACTGTATGCCCTTGGGTAATTTGTTTCTGTTTTAGCCCACATTTTCTTTGCTCTTCTTGTTGATCTTTTAGAGCCTTGTACTTGAGCCAAGTCACTCATCACTGGTGCAGGCACTGGTTGCTTATGCAAATGATCAATCCATATCTGTTGAGTTTCCCTTGTCATGTTATCAATTAGGCCAACTTTTAGGTCCTTGTGTACTTAATTTCTAACTTTGTCCTTTGTAGTTACATTCATCCATCTCAGTGTCCTCATTTCAGCTACAAGCATTTTTTGAACATGTTTTCTTGATTTCCCAGCACTATGTTCTAAAAAATATGAAGAATATGCCATAATGAAACTCAAAGATATAGGTGCTGCACTCTTAGCAAAATGGGCATGCCAGGTTAAGCATTTGTTAAAATTTTAAAGTGCTTGGCTCAATGTCTGGGCTCATTACTGTTGAACTTCTTCAAGTTGGCTACAAAATGTGTACTTTAATGGAATATTTTCCTTGTTCACAGGGAAAAGATGGTTGCTGCACTTCTAGCATCTGGTGCATCAGCTGGGGCGGTGACAGATCCCACTTCAAAAGATCCAACTGGTAAAAGTCCAGCTTCCATTGCTGCTGCCAGTGGTCACAAGGGACTTGCAGGGTATCTTTCAGAGATGGCACTAACAAGCCATCTTTCATCCCTCACATTGGAAGAAAGTGAACTTTCTAGAGGTTCTGCTGCTGTGGAGGCAGAAATAACTGTTGAGACCATCTCAAAGAGAAGCCTTGGTGCCATTGATGATCAACTTTCTCTTAAAGATTCATTGGCTGCAGTTCGAAATGCAGCTCAGGCTGCTGCACGTATCCAATCTGCTTTTCGTGCACATTCTTTTAGGAAGAGGCAACAGAAAGTTGCAGCTGCTGATAGTGTTGATGAGTATGGCTTTGCTCCAGATGACATTCATGGGCTTTCAAAGTTGGCCTTCCGCAATCTCCGTGATCACAGGTTGGACAAAGCAGCTTTGTCTATTCAGAAGAAATATCGTGGATGGAAAGGGCGCAAGGACTTTTTAGCACTGCGGCAGAAAGTTGTCAAGATTCAGGTACCTTATGATCTTGCAGAATGTTTACAATAATTTCATAAACTTCTTAATATGCTTATAATTTAATAAGCAAATACTATTTTAAAATTTTTATACATATTCTTTATCAACTTTACTTTTACACTAATTTCATTATTACTGTTAGATATAGGAAAGATTTAAATATCATGAAAACTCTTGTTTGACTCATATTTAAGGACATGGATATTCGTTAATACTTAAATATGAATCAACTCACAAGATGCAGCAACGGATGAGGGAAAACATAACCCATATCAAGTTCATTAGCTTTCACTAGAATGAACTGGAAATACTTTATCAAAAGCAAAAAAGGATACAAATTATGAGTAGTACTTGAAGCTTTCACTAAAAGTGTGCAAGGTATTGATTGCTGGCTATCCTTTTTGGCAGGCTCATGTGAGAGGTCATCAGGTAAGGAAGAAATATAAAGTGCTATGGGCTGTTGGTGTTTTAGACAAGGTTGTGTTACGATGGCGCCGGAGAGGAGTTGGTTTACGAGGATTTCGGAATGAATCTGAGTCCATTGGTGAAAGTGAAGATGAAGACATCCTCAAGGTGTTTCGAAAACAGAAAGTGGACGTGGCTATTGAAGAATCTGTGTCGACTGTGCTGTCTATGGTTGAGTCTCCAGATGCCCGTCAGCAATATCGTCGCATGCTTGAAAGCTACCGTCAAGCCAAGGTTAGTATGCCAAAGATTTTGAATCGAAAAGGACATGATTTCAAGTAACCTAAATGAACCATATTTAAGACACAAATATATCTAAATTCTAATAAGGGTTTATATTATATTTGCACGAGGATAATGGGATGATAAATTTTCTCTCTTATGGTATTTAACTTGAACATATATACATGCATAACAAGGATGGCCCAAGGTTCATTTTCTGAATCATCTTCCAAACTTTTTAACTTCTTATTATACTCATGATTTATTTCTGGCTGTCTTATAGTTTCTTACTCGGATCTATCTTTATAGTAATTTATTAGTGTCGCTTTAGGCTCTCTTGTTGATTAAATCGATTATTGTTAATATTGTCTGCAGGCAGAATTGGGCGCCATGGCAAAAAATATTGCATCCACTTCACAAGGAAATATTGACTATATGGAAAATGATGGCATGATGTCTCAGTTCCCATTTGAGCATCTGTGAATCAAAATAACTTATGGATTCTTTGATAATCTGTATTTTAGCTTTGCCTTGTATATGGTAATCGTATTCAGCAGTTGTACATATTTTGTTTTGGTTTAGGAATAGATGCAAATGATTGTGATTGGTCATGTATGTCATATGTGCCTCTCAAGGTTCAAACTATGATGTAAATGTTGTTTCGTAGTTGCTGCAAGTGTTGCTTTTCATTTATTTTAAAGGTTTGGAATAATATAAGGCTAATTCACATTACTGGGTTCGAGTTCGAGATTAGTGTCTTCTACCTTTTTCCTTTTCTCTCTGCCGTTTTTTTTTTTTTTTTTTTTTTTGAAGCCATAGGGCAAGAGCTTTATTTAACTTTCAACTTGGAGGTTACATCTCATCCAAAATAATAGATTGGATACAATCTGGAATAGAGGACCAAGTAAACGATTGGTTTTGTCTTAGAGCAAATTGGGCAAGCCCATGGGCTGCTCTATTACAGGACCGAGGGGTGTGATACCAAGCACAGGATGAAAAGGATTTTGAGATGGTTTTACAATCCAAGGCAACTAGCAGCAAACTCCAAGGGGGTTCCAGATCCGAAGAGAGAACTCGAATAACAATTTTAGCATCACTTTCTATGATAATCGGATCCAAGATGAAAGGTTTTGTTAGTCGAAGACCCTTTAGAATTGCTTTAAATTCGGATCCAATGGGAAAAGAACTCTTCACCAACAAGGCTTTGGCAACCAGGAGAGATCCAAATTCATCTCGAGCAATGACATCGACTGCAGCTTTTGATGGAGACCATGCTCCATCAGTATTGATTTTAATGTGCAAATGAGGAGGTTTGATCCAAACTGATGAGGTTCTTTGAAGAGAAGAAAGAGAATCAAATCCTAAGTTTTCTAGCTGGGTCAACAAAGGTCTTTCACGCATTTTCACCAAGTCTCCAAGGTGGGCATTATAGGGAATGAGAACGGTTGAATGAGTGAATGGCTTCCCATTAAAATGAGTTTGACATCTAGCCTTCCAAATATACCATATAAGAACAGTGCCTCTAGTAAATAGGGAGAGATCAGACTCCTCTTTAATAATGTTATCCATTTTCCTCCATTCCTCTAACCAGAAAAGAAAACCTTGATCGTTGCAAATGTTGGCTCGCAAACCCATGGATGAGGCAAACCAAATTGGTTGAACCGTTCGGTAGTGGAAAAATAAGTGGTCCAAAGTTTCTGGATCTTCATGGCAAAGTCTGCAGGTGGGATCAATGTGATTTGATCTCTTGGCAAGGTCAGCAGACACAGGAAGGACTCCTTTGCAATAGCGCCAAACAAAGGTTTTTATTCTGAGTAGGATGAATTTTATCTTCCAAAAAGATTTGCAATTGTCTTGGACAAACTCACATAGAGTGTGAAGATTCTGGAGAATTGGAAATAAGTTTGTATCCCGAATTACAAGTGTAGTTACTATGGGGAGTTAAAAGTCCAAACCAGGGTATCCCCATGGGAATGAGAAGTAGAAGGGATATCAGTTCTCAAAATCATATTAACAGTCTCCTCATTGAAACCTTGTGTGCGCACAACATTACTCCAATTATGAGAGTGCTGATCTATAAGAGTAGCCACCATGTTTATGGGTTGGTTCCAAGTTGCAGGTATGTCAATGAGACCATTTAGCAACCAAGGATCATAAAAAATGTTAACATTCCACCCTTTATAGATAATCCACTTACACCCTTTAATTAAGTCATTTCTGCAATCAAGAATAGCAGTCCAAAGAGGTGAATCACCTGATTTTTTCTTCTAACGCCAGAAAGAACCATTTAGAAGATATTTTGCATGGAGAACTTGGGCCCATAAAGAATTATTTTCCTTTAAGAAACGCCAAGCAATCTTCATTATGAGTGCTTTGTTGACCAAGCCAAAATGTCTGAAGTCTAGACCACCTTTCTCACTGGGAAGTAAAAAAGAATTCCAAGCCTTGAGGTAAAGAGGTTTTTTACCATGAGACACCCCACCAAAAGTCTCTGAAATCCTTACAAATGGTTGAGGGCAGAGAGTAAGATAGCATGTGGTAAATAGGCATTGAGGTAAGGATAGATTTAATGAGAGTAGATCTTCCTGCATGAGAGATAACCCCCATCTTCCAGCCTTTGAGTTTAGCTTTAACTTTGTCCAACAAAAACTGTCAATAAGAGAATTTTCTACTAATTCCGATGAATGGACCACCAAGGTAGGTATCTTCCTTTTTCATATCAGCAACACCCAACAAATTCTTAATTGAGTTTTGTGTAGATAAAGGGGTATTTTTGCTGAAAAAAAAAAATAGATGATTTCTCAAGGTTAATCACTTGACCTGTCCAATCACATAATTTTTTTAAAATGACATTCAAGTGTTGAGCTTCTTCAATTTCAGCTCTTCCCACTAATAATAAATCATCAGCAAGTGGTTGATTTGCACATTTGACCTGCTGAATCTGAAGCCTTTTAACGTGCCAGTGTCCAAGGCATTAGATAACATCCGAGAAAAAGCTTCCAAATATATGATGGAAAGATAGGGTGAAAGTGGACAACCCTATCTTAAGCCCCTTTCAGGAGAGAAACCATAGCTTGGCTTTCCATTAATCAAGATTTTCATAGAGTTAGAGGCAATGCAAGCCTTAATTAATTTGCAAACAGATTCCAAAAAACCCAATAGATTCAAACACGGAATGAGGAACGGCCACTCCACCCGATCGTAGGCCTTTGACAAATCCACCTTTAATAGAAAGAATCCTTCTCGACAATTGCTTCTATTCATCGAGTGAATAAGTTCACGAGCTACCACAACATTATCAATTATCTGTCTCCCAGGTAAGAAAGCATTTTGAAATGGAGAGATAATTTTCTGCAGAAGAGGCTTAAGGCAGTTTGCAATCAATTTTTCCATAACTTTGTAAGAGGCTTATTCCAATGCGGGAAGGTTCAACAAATAGGGTGCGAATGAAATGACAAAAGTCCTCCCCCACAGCATTCCAACCATTCTAAAAGAAAAGAGCATGCAGGCCATCAGGGCCAGGAGCCTTTAATGGGTTCATACTGAAGAGGGTTTTCTGGATTTCCAGGTTAAGAGGTGGAGTGCACAACACCGAGTTCTCATGATCAGTGATGCAAGGCATTATCAAATGTTTGTTGAGATCATTTTTTTTTTTATCAATAACACTTTCATTAACTCATCAAAAGAAGATTTACAATAGGAAGGCAAACACGCTTATCTTCCAAGAGCAACAAAGAACCTCAAGAAAAGAAAAAAAGATAAAAAACACACTATAGTTACAGCTCAGCCCAAAAAAGTGAATCTCTTTCTGCCCCTTGTTTAGCTAAAC